GAGATTTGAACCCGGGACTTTTGGTCATTGAGTTCAATACTCTACCACGGCAATAATGTGGCGGTTTGGCGGGTTCACGTTATGAGCTCCTGGGCAAAGCGGAATTTGATTGTTCCTCTACTAGATCGGCGAAACACATATATCCATCATATTCCCGATCTCAACCGAGAAAGCAAGGAGTCCTTAGTGCCGTGCTGGAGTATTCAACTCAATGAGCAAAGGTACCGAGTTCAAATCTCGGGGTTCCAACCCTTGAGATTGGGTATGACTGGCTAATGACGGCTAACAAGCCAGAAATGGCCATTCCGGCCTTCCTTTGCTTTGTCGAAACCATTTTATCATATCACCATATTCACTATGTTACGGTCTGGCGGGTTCACGTTGTGAACTTAATTGTTCCTCCACAAGATCAGCGAAGCACATATATTCATAGTCATATTTCTTGGAAAAGCAGAAACTCTTAAAGGTGTGGACAATCGGTATAAGTAAACGTAAGATCCATATGTACAGGAAGCCTGTGCGTACAGAAGTACTTTCGAATAGAATAGTTGTTTTTGCAGAGAAATATTCCTCCATAGTACGTGCAATGCGAAGTTGACTGTTTACAAATAGCCTTAAGTTCTAGTATATAATCCAACATGGTTTTCTTCCAATTCTACACGATCTGAGATACGTTAGACTAAGGCAAACATATTTTCGCTTGCTTCCACTGATAGGTGCGTCGCGAAAAGTAGATATTTCACAGGCTCGGATTTTGACAGGCCGGTCAATGACCAGAACATTTAAACAGAATTGTCAGGCACAACCGTAAACGTACTGTCTTCTTCATATATAGAGAACTTGCGTTTCGTGACTGCTATAAAACAATAAATCAAGTTATCCGGTGCTCGACGCGTTTTCTTCCTTATCCATGCAGATACCTGGAACGCGAACCTCTTCATTCATTCGAAAACAAACTTTGTTATTATAGTAAACGCGAAAGAATTGGCTTCGTTCAAAACGTTTCTTCAACTGGCAGTTACGCAAAACAAGCTGGTCACCCAGGTTACACATTTGCATTCGGCGAACAGCTAAAAAACGAGCGTTTATAGACCAGCAACAGGAGGAATACGCTAGTTGACAATTAAAATAGAGACTGCAGGCTGTTATCAAACGTAGGCAAAGTAAATAAAAACTAGATCTGCTAGAAAAAACCAAATTCGAGACTAAACTGCCTTCCGGCCGATGCAGTTGACATAAACCAATAGGTATGGTAGAATTTAATCGAAAATGTTTCTCAAAAGCGTATTCCTTAGCATCCAGAGGTAGCATTCGAAACTGGGCCGGAAACCCGAATGTAACTTGTTTTCAGGTTTCTAATTACAACCAGTGGAAATTCGGGTATCTGAGCGGCCGTACCAAATCGTCGGAATACATCCCTAATAGAAAATGGAATGAAGGATCTTAGAGATAAATACCCTCGTTTGTTTCACATCACCCCTTCTAGCCAAAGAGCATTTGGGACACAGAGAGAGAAAAGTTGAAAATTGCAAGTCAGAAGCGTTCTAATCTCGCGACCCATCACCGTCAACGTTTTAAACAAACTCTATACCCCCTTGAAGCTCGAACAGACGCTAAACATTGTTTAGGACCATAGGTTTCGACCGCCATTAGGGTGAAATAGTAGGCAGTCTAGCCGGATGTCCTTAAATGCTCTCCGTCGAGACAGGCATGCGTTGGTTATTTCTTAATGGCAAGAAGCTGAGAGAAGGAGAGAGAGAGAGCGAGCTACCTGACGAATAAACTCGCGTCCATCGAGATTGAAACATTTCATAGTGGTGATGGGGTAACGCCGAGAACTGTTGGTCTTCAAGTTCTCCTCGAGGAAACCAAAGGATGCCGGGTTGAGATCATTAGCGAAGATTGTACATCCGTGACGCGCCAGAGGTATGGCGAAAGGTCCGATGCCAGCGAAGACGTCGTACACGACTGTCTGGGCGCGAACACTGGCATCACCGTCACCGGCTGTTCGTTTGACCTCATCAACGATTCGCGAGTGTTCTGTGCCTTGACAGAGAGAGAGCGAGAAAAAACACCTTCGTTACTGAGAAGCCGGTTAGGGGTTCTTAGTGCTGGCTCAAGGAGTTATGACTATTTTTCATAGTGACAGTCTCTGATGATGCATTCAAGTGGAAATGCGAAGCACCAAGCCAATAAAATTCTGACTCCAAAGATCGCATCTACACCTTCGAAAACCGCAACCACACACTTGTAATGGTTCACTCGGTAAAGGACTTCGGCCGGCGAATCATGCGGAAGAAAACAACAACCGGTGGAATCCTACCTTAGGTCCCAGAAATTGTTTAAATAATCTAATGTTTTCGCCCCAAATAAACACATATATTCACTTACAATTCTTACAATTCTTACTATTGGGTGTGACAAGTGTGGATATCTTTTTACATACTAGTTTATTGAGTTTCTAAATATTCCTGAAACTTCAGGTCCAACTTATCGTACTGAAATTAGAGTAGTATATTTGTTTTATTAGATTTATTTACTGTACATTACGTTTTTCAGTTAGTTGTTTTTAGTTTTGGGTAGTTATTTTTTGGTTAAGTTATTTCCTAACATTTGCATAATTGGACTTTTTAATTATGGTGCACTTTTTGTTGACAAACATTAGATTATTTGAATAAGTATTCCGGTTTTTCCTACCCTTATAAACTTAATTTTTATTTCCCCGCCTTTGTATTGTCCAGACTGTATACTCTGTATTACACACGGTAGTGTATTACAGAATGATGGAGCTTCCGTGTGCTGACATAATCAGAGAACAGTAGCATTTTTGGAAACTATTACTCATACATTTTACGTGTTTTTTGTTCGTGTCTATTATGAGCAGACGCTTCTAACAGAGAGCAATGGGTCCATCATGAGGGCAATGTGAAGCCATAATGCAGAACACTAAAAATTAGCAAACTGATACTGACCTAATTCAGTTGACCCATTTGTGAAAATTTCTCATCGAACCCACACAATGAAATAGAGTCTACCATTGACCAGACTTCAGACTACATTTGTGTTCTTTAATAAAACAGTACTTCATGCACTTTCTGACATGGACCCACAGATTTACCTGGTCCTACAGTTCCACACTAAATACTATGAATACCAGAAGATGAAGATGTGTTAATGTGAGAATTAAGT